TGCCGCTCATCAATTATGAGTTACGATCGTGCCTCAAGGTTCCGCCGGCAATCTCAGCCTCGAATCGAACGTCCTCCGCGCGCGCACGTCTCCCCGAGCCCTTTCCTCCGCTGCTGACGATAGCTATAAATCGCCTATCCCGCCTTTTGGCAAGCGAGTAGTAATGTCCTTGAGTGTTTATTGTCTGCCATAGATAGACGATCCCTTTTTTTGGAATAGTGAGATTACAAAGACAATTGTGCTCTTTCAACTGAGAAAGTACGAAATTTAAATTAGTGACAACACGGAAGATGTACGATTATCTCGAACCTGACGATCGAAATCTACGCTACCAAATGTCCAAAATAGAAAAATGTAAAAAAAACATTTAGTTAGGCCCGGGGTGCCTGGGTAATATTGAAGTATATTACAGAAGACACTTGACTTTTTCAGCAGAGAAAAACCGAAATGCGAACAATCAGAAAGCAGACTAATACTGCGATTTTAAATAAAAAAAGAAATAATTTTGTTGAGCATAAGTAATCAGGAATGTCTTCTTACAATTACATAAAATTACATATAAGAGAAGGAACATTAGAGACAAATATCTACAGTGACGAAGTTGGTACTAGCATAATAGAAATTAAAAATGAACCTATTGCAAACAATAAAATCCACAATTCTGTTGAAGTAGTACATCGTTCCCCAAGTGTTTCTCCGAAAAGAATTTTTGAATCCAACCAAATATTGATTAACGTGCGGAATCATTATAAAGGAGAAATAAAAAAAGTTGAAAAAACAGTTATATGTCAGTACCTACAAAAATAAAAAAGCACAAGTTTTTGAATTCAATGAAATAGTTATATGTCAGTACCTACAAAAATAAGAAACACATATTTAATATATCACATAAAATAAGAAAATAGAAAACTCTATTTTAAAACTTAAGAAATTCTATAGCGTGTATACTAAGTATATTTTTTTATAATTTTTTTATAATTGTTATATCAGAAACATTAAAAAATCATTTTCCTTTCCTTATTCCGGGAATGAGTATATGGATAGAGATCTTTTGTCAGGCAATTGATAAACGTTTTCAATTTTCATACCCGTGGTTTCGCTATCGCGAATCTCCGTCGGGAATAAAGATCTCTCAAGTAGACGCGTGAGTTAACTAACGGGAAGGGTTTCTCTTAGCGCTGGCGATGCTCTTCGACATGGTTCGACACTTCGACGATATTACACACTGTGTGCAGGATCGCAGGACGACGACGAATGCACACGCGCATGCACAGCGCATCATTAGGGCGTTTCGCTAGCGGCGACGGCACGTCGACGCCATGAATCCGCTCGGCACTTGAGAAAACGCGCGGAAAATGCGGAAAATTATATTCCTCGCGACGCGTCCGCGTGTTCGTTGCATACACGACAAAACTGGTTGCTTTATAAATAACATACGGCGGCAGTGGGGAAATACTGTAACCGCGGCGATCTCTTTCATGTACAGTATTTCAACAAATGTAAATGCAAATGTCTCTGTGAGGACGAGATAATCGAATAAATTGTATCTGTTCAAGTTGAATTAAAATATTAAAATTTCAACATAAACGAATTCATCAGCACAGGTTACATCAGGAACATTTTCGATATGCCGAGGTGGTCCCTCGCATAAGATTTAGTATTCATCACGCGAGGCACAATGTGTCGTCAGCACGTGTCTCTCCGCCCACCCTCGAACAACGCATCGATGATGGAAATGGATATCGATTAATCGTCTTACGTAATGTTATCGGTGCCGATATATGCACGTTCACGCCCCCGTCGTTCCAGAAAAGGGAATGGTTACGGTAATAACGACGCTTACGCTTGTATCTTGCGACCTGACACCGCGAGACATCTCGACGAACGTAATTTCGCCGTGATTGCATCGTCATTTTCATGCACATGTGTCTTGAACGAGTTATACGGCTTATAACTCGTATATATACGCGGCTATAAAAATTAGATTTCTACTTCATCACGTCAAAGTGAAATCTAAATGAAGTGTGATACAGACGCGATGTTTCTGACCGGTACAAAATTGATTTCTAAATTGTATTAGCATTACACACTTCGCTTGTTACAACGTCTTTTCATCGATAACTTGGAGGAGTAACAAACTGCAATTTTATGCGTTAAATATAATACGCAAAGTTGTGAAAACGTAGTTAGATAATCACTTCGTATAATATTCCAGTCAGATTTATTTTGTATATTATTCTGCTGTAGATTCACCGCCTTTAGCGCATATGTATCTTCGAATGTTAATGCATTATCCCTCCAAGACAGTGTTCCAGGTATTATCTTATCGCAGGTTTTTGTGTGGTTATTCTGTAATAATATTCTGTCGTTATATAATAGTAATCTGAAGTTATTAATAATTGATATTATACACACACACACACACATATGGGCCAAAATCAGCCATTATACGTCACGCTAACGGGTTAGTCATAAAGAATTGCATTTATCATGTTTATTTCATATGCTAATTTTCAATGTCAGTCTTTCTAAGACAACGCCGGCTAAGACAACTTGTCAAGACGCAATTTTGCTAAAGAAAAAAGTTGTTTCTTTTAGCATAAAGAATCACGTTCTGTACTCCGTATCCGCGAGTTTTGGCACACCCTGTATACGTATATGTCTAGCGAGAGTCTCTGAAGAGTTAAGAAATACAAGGGCTAGTATATATCATGCGAAACGAAACCGAGAGTAACAAGGATTGCGACTAGGTTCTGTTAAAAAAACAAATCCACGTATTCGAGATTGATGTATAAGGTTGACGAGCGCAGCGAGTGGCAGGCTGGAATAAATTATGTTAACAGCAGATGTAGCTGCGATGCATCTCTCTCACTCTCCCTTTCTCCCTTTCTTTCCTCGCGTCGAACTACGGCGGAACGTCGCGGGGAGAATCGGCACGATACGTAGAGCTAACTGACGATAAACAACGATAAATTCCTCCCACCTACGCGGCGCGGGTACGATAGTACGAGAGTCCGGAATACGTGTACGGCAATACCTCCTCCTCGGGAGGCAATTTCAATGAGCTCGCGCACAGCGCGCGGCTCAAACGTGCCCGCGAAGCTGATGCATAAATACCTATAAATATGACACGGCGGGGCCCGCGGTAACGTCGCATATTAAATTACATATTAAATTACATTCTTAAGCAGCCGGCACGCACGCCAGGGACCGGACGGTATGGCGCGCATCAAGTCAGCGGGGCTGATTAAACGCAACCACGGAACATGGTGCATCGGCACAATGAGACGGACGGAGAGGTAAAGAACCGATTGGCGAGCAAGAAAAGAAGAGACGCGGTCGTTCTGTTCTGGGTATTCCCCGGACGTGACATCCTGATTCAAGCGGTATAAGAGTTGTCGGAGAGATATGGAGAATATGAAGAAGGAGAAAGGATACGCGAGGACGAAGCGGGAAACGAGATAGAGAGGGGGGGGGGGAAGAAATAGAGAAAGAGAGAAGACGAGCAGGCATACACCACCGGAGGCTAGGGATGCTAATTATTCTGGTTCATGCGAGCAATTTGTCGACTACCCGGGGAACGTATGTTTAATACCCGCGGGGCTCCCGGGTGCCCGCGGGTATTTACATCTGCGGCGAATACCGCGGCTGTAACGCCGGCTACGTTGAGAATTATCGTCGGGATTATACAGTGTGTGTCTCATGTGCGAGCGAGGGCTGAGCCCTCCGCGGTGGCGGAATCGCGCGGAATACGTGCTCGCCGTGTGTAAGGGTAGCAATCTCGAGACGATATATATGCACGCGCGCACGGGGTTAACAGGAATCGGCACGATTTTCCAAGCTGAGCTTCTGCACTGGTTCGTCTATTATCACGCACGCGGCCTCATCTTTTTCCTCCGCTTCAACAGAAATTATGCGCCAGGTATTTCATCGAGGCTTCAGCTCTGTATCCGGAACATTAGTGCAATTTGCGGAACGTGCATTCATGGAATAAACACTCGTGCGGGAACTGCGCTTCGATTACCATAAGTAATATCGATTTCACGCTTGGCAGCATTTTTCTCGAACAGTTTCAACGACACACGGAAGACTGATCAAGTACTATAAAAAACCTGTATTAAATTAATAGCAAAACTTTTTTTTAACAATAATGATATATATATATATATATATATCGCCTTGTGTACTTTTAATCTGTAATTTTATTAAATTTGTACTTGTAAAAATTCGCGAGAAAAAAGATGGGAAAATATATCTAAACTATATTTTACTAAACAAATCACAACTAAATAAACATTCTCAAAATAAGTAAAGAAAAATAAGTGGATTTCAAATCTCTGTGGAATACTCTACTTTAATCTTCTCATTGCGGTAGGCTCTATATTCCGCGAAAGGATAAAATGATATAAAGGAATAAAATCTTTTACGAAGAGTGTACCGTGAAGGATCGAGAATTATTCTTGGATTACAGCCGCACTCGTAACTTTTCTAAACCGGGGCTCGTTCCCGTTCATCCGCAGTGGTAGCGAAGGCTTCTCGCTAGAATAGCAATCTGCAAGCTGCACGTGGGGTTAACAGGATCTCTACTTTGATTCTTCTTCCTGTTGCGAGGAAGATCGCTCCAATTTCACAGTGGGAGCACGTGATATTAAGTCGCGATCGAATACTTCATTCGCCGGAAGCTGGGAGACTTAATCGTTCCTCCGGGAGCACTCGTTACAAATACACAATCCTCGTAACGAGAAAGGAGGGAGGGAGATTTATTGCGTCCGGCGAATGTGTGTTATCATATTCCGAGATTCGATGTAAGGAAAATACTTCCTCTATTTGTCTTTTCGCTTTAAATATATTTTCGATTATCGCTTAATATAAAACATATTCTTACACAAAGAAGTAGAAGTAACGGTATTCTTCGCAAATTTGAAAGCACTGCGCCCATTCCGCGTGCGACGCGCGCGTGATAGACCACTTTCCACGCATTTTGTAATATAAATAAATAGGAAAAGAAAAAGAAGGCAAAAAGAAGACGAGAGCAATGGCCAATCCGCAAGGTGAAGGAAATGAAGATTTCCCTGATCTAAATTTTGAGTTGCCGTTGCCGGATTTGCAACAGCAGCAGCAGCAGCAGGATCCGCAACAGGAACCAATCATGCAACCAATGTATATGCAAATAATTCAACAATTGCAGCTGCAACAGCGGCAACAGCGCCAACGGTTGCAACAATTAGAGCGGCGGGTGGAGCTGCTCCAAAATATGTTGCATATGTTGCAGAATGCGGCGAGATAATAGTATTGTCACAATGTGTAAGCAGTACATATTGTATTTGGAAAAGGATATCTGCGTGTGGCAAACAATAAAGTTTATAATTTGTAAATCTACGACAGGGTATTAGATTGAGTGTTTGCCTTTAGAGATGGAAACTTTGTTGGCCAGAATGTTACTCCCGGAAGCGTGGGGCAGTTTAGAAAATAATGCTCTTGAGGAAGTTTAGTTAATGGAAATCACGGGCGTACGATGATAAGTTAGAGTCGAGGCAGCCTTTCGGTTTTATTTCAAGTTTTCGCAAAATCTTGAAACAGAGAAGATTCTCTATTTTTTGCGTTTATCTTCAAATAAACTTCGCGACCTTATACTTATCGATTTTTGGCTCTAGCAATGGATCAGAACAACAACAGTAGCAACGTGTCGCAGCAAATCGATTGCAAAATGGAGTTGCCTGCAGGGACAAATAATTATATTCATTTCCTGTACAGGACATCCGGTAAATATGAAAGCTGCTGTTTATCCAGCGAAAAAGGAGCTTTAGGCAAGCTCTCAAACCTGTTGAAGCACTTTTCCATAAATAGAGATATATACTGGTTTGTGAAGAACAATTCGAAATGCCTGGCATATCTAAATGATATGTTGCAGCATTTTGAGATTAAAAACTATATTTTATATCAAAAGACCGATAAAGAAGACCAAAAACAGTGGTCGAAAATAAATACAATGTGGGAAGCGTTATGTTTAATAATAAACGATGGCCTATGGAAAAATTGGCGATTTAAACTATATTTAAACCTGAAACCTAAAGCCCAAAAAAAATCGACAGTAAATGAAATAAAAATTAATTTATATATAAACAAAGAAAGTTCTAATATTCATTTACCTGAGGATTTAACATCTACCATATATTTATATGAGTCCACAGGCAAGGATTGTAAGAAAATCGTCCAAACACTTAAGGAGTACGTGGATATGAAAAATAAATTTGAAAAACCATCAAGCACTTCAAGTTTAGCAGATAATACTATGGATCCTTCTGCAGAACGTCAAGGTCAAGACATATCTGGTTTGCCTGTTCAATCATTTAAAGAAAAAACAGGCGCACTCGATGAATCCAGGCACCCCGCCACCGGCTATTCTTGATTTATTTATCGGATTTATCTTGTGTTTGATCGAAGCCGGATGGATAAACGTTATTATGTTCTCGACAACCAGTACTCAATAAATGTTATTTTCTTTGTTATCTGACCGAGTATGAAATTGACGTGTCACCCCGCCGAATAACGCGCTGCTCTTCATTAACCCCGCCCGTGATTAGGTCAAGAGCCGATTCCACGCACCTCCACATTTCGTTTTGCGTCTCGTTTAGGTTTTCGCGATTTCGTGGGCGCGAATGTACGCGTCTGGCGCCCAACATTCGGAATATTTCGTGGAGTATCGGAGGTGCGAGGAAATCCCTGGAGAGGCCTACCATCCCGCTCTCCTAAGTCCTTTTGATCCGGCACACGTCCCGGAGCGGTCCGGGAGTGCAAAAAGTCGTGACAAAATTTTGTCGGAATCCAGGTAGATAATTTCATAAATAGACTTCCCGATGACAAAAATGACTGTTGCGAAAGACCCGGTCGTTCTCGATGTAGGAAATCGGTCTCGCATATCGATGGGACGATAGGACTGCTTCGAAATTTCTTGGGTGTGGCTATTAAAATCGGTTATGAAAGGCTGCTGCACCGCGCCGCGGACAGGGTCCCAAGACGTGAACCGCGCGAGTTGTAAAATTCTAAGAAGCCGGAATGGCCTTCTCCTCGCGTTGCACAACGCTCCGCCGCGCCTCCTGTGTGCTCGACACAATAATTCATTTACCGAACGGCGAACATAAGCACGATGTTAGCGCACGTCGCGGCACGCTAATACAGTGCCGCTCACACACGAGAATTCACGCAGAAAAGCTTCTTTTCGCGCCTTGAATGAAGAACTGCGCACAATAGACACAATGGCTCTGTGTCGAGGAAGAGTGTGGCTATTTATCTTCGAGATTTTTTCCAATAACATCTCATAAGAAACCTTCTAAAAGCGTATTGACTAAATTGAGTTGCTTGTAGGCAGAATATGTTACTTCGATTTGCAAATGTTAATTAAACTGGTTTCGACTGCGTCGCGACTAAAGGTCGATTCTCACTATCAGTTAAGTCACGCGGTCCGGTCATGGTCCGGTCACGTTCTGATTAAAAATCAAGCGTGACTGGCAGTGTAAATGCAAATTCGAAAAAGCATTGAATTTAATGGCAAAGATTTTTGATCGGATAGTAAAAATCGACTTTTAATTTAAAAAAATTCAGATATTGCAGTTATTGCAAAAATTAGAAAAAAAACCATTAATTTTTCCTACACTTATGAATTAATTTATCTTTTAATCAAAATATATTTCTTACGATAGAATCATTTATTACAGATGGATATAGGCAATAAATGCATTATTAATCAATTACAAGATGTATTTCAAGGCTCAGCTGTCACATTTATGTTCCAAGAACTACCGTTCGATTTTCTCAATAGCGTAATCTTCGACTTGTGCGTTGCAATCAAACGGACTCGATGTACGCCTATTCCTTTTCACAAACCGGTGTTTACACTTGTACCTTGAACTACCTTGACATCCAAGCTGCATTTCAACGTTGTTACGTCGTGTTGTGTCATGAACGTCGATGACGTTATCGATAAATATCTCGAGATGAAATAACGTGCGATTAAATTCATACTTACAACATGACAAAGCAAGCGGATTAAGAGTAAGTTATAAAAGGAGCGTACTTAAGTCAGAGTGTTCTAAAAGTCGCGGCATCCGACTAATAAATGTCATAAAACACTGCGAAGGCATTAAAGTGCTGTCTTCATGGATAGCGATTATAGCAATTAAAATTATAATCTGTAGACATGCAGTCGCATAAACCATTCGCGGTGTCGGCCGTTGGATAATAGTATATCATTAGAAAGGACATCGTAATAATTTACGGCGATGTTCACTCTTCCGTGAAAAACTACAAAAAAGTAAACATTTTTCCCTCGAAAGCTGACAGTGAGGTAAATGTATCGTTTTGTGAAAGCGGAAAATTTCCAACTTCCGTAACTCTCCGTTATCTTTCAGGTCATATAACCATTAAGGGGGCATTTAATCGCCTGTAAAACTGCAGCTGTTCGAAATAATGTAATTGAAATTGCGATAATACCGGCGAGTTAAAGTGTGCGCGGAACCGCAAACATACTTTGTCTTTTAACGAGGTAATGCTTCCGCGAGATATCGAGGTATAGCGTTTACACTCTCTATACACAGATCGGAACTTTCCGTTTAGGTGCAAATCGTCGGCAAGGATTGCTTATCGGAGTAAGACTAATGCAAAATATACACAAGCGACAATTAACGCGCCGTGGTTTTCGTTATTTGCTCAACAATCGCATACAGTATTTAAGAGAATAACGTGATCGATTAAGTATATACATGTGTCATTAAATAAGATAAAATGGAAACGCTACCTGAAAGGAGAGTTCCTTAAAGATAAAGCCACAGTGAAAGACGCAATTGTATAATTTATGTATATTGTATTTTCTATAACAGTTTTCCCGATAAATTTTTCATTTTTGCGAGTTCTGTCGCAAAATACGCGATGGTTTACATCGCGACGAAGGCCTATCCGGATAGTGCGATCTCCCGTTTTGCGTATCGGCCATATGTAAAGATATCGTGGAAGTAAATAATTTCAATAGCCGCGCACGCGAGGCGGTTATCGAAAGACACTAATGCGAGGCATAGGTAAACGACAATTAATGCACCGCCAACTTTTTCGCGGCCGCTATAATCCCAACGCGATACCCTCAGTAATTGCGGAAGCCCGCATTCCGCGCTATCCGTTAATAAGCTAATTGAAAAAAAATCCGCGGTTACTCTCCCGTCGCTCCGCGTGCGTGCTCAGGTGCATTCAACGGAGCAGAGCACTTTTACCCGATGCTACCTGAGATCGCGAGTTTATAAACTCGCCCGACATTGGGCGAGATTAACGCCCGATTAATTAGTTCTGCCCGTAAAATATTCGTTATATATCTCGGACCTCGAGTATGTTATTCTCACGACGCGGTGCGTGATTCTCCGCGCGCAAAAAACGACATCGCTGAAATCAAACGTATCGGACCTCATCGGGACAGACAGTACTTCAGCAAAGACGTGGACGTGATACTAATATGAAAGTGTATGATATTAATGATTGCAAATGCAATAAAGGTAACTATGGATGCTGTAAGCGTTTAGAATGGAACTCTGTGGACGGAAAGCTTTGCATAAATATAACTCATTTAGAGAACGACCGCGGGTTCTCGCAGAGTGACATATAAAGACTTAACGATTTTTAACAACACAGTTTCAGCAACCCGATCGCGGTCCGTGATCATTGTTTCTATATACATACGACGAAAATAAAATCGGAAATCGCTTCGATTTTATTTGCCATAAACCGCGTCTTCCACGCTGCCCCTCCCCTCCCAACCCGATGCCGCGCCGTTACGGCGCGGCGGCTTCCTCGCGGCCGCGCCGCCGAGAAGCGATCATCTTGCGTCGGGTGGAATTCTCTTGGCACGGCTCGCGGTCGTAAAAGGCACGGGAATACGCCCCTCGCAGTTAATACCGACGGCACGGCGATGCTGAACTTTCGATTTCGCGCCTCCTTCGCGTTTCCGAGATTTATGCAAATCTCGGAGGTGCGTGAAAGATGTACGGCTGAAAAAGAGAGAGTGAGAGCAAGAGAGTGAAAAAGCATCACAGGATACAACACGAGTCCGGGATCCGCTTGGAACTCTATATATACGACCGTTGCGCGCGTTCGCGACGTATTTCTGGCTGTAAATCAACGGGTTATGCATAGAGAAGGAACAGAGCGCGGCCACCACTTCCGCCCAATAAACGTTTTACATCCAGCGTTCCTCTTCACCCACTACTGAACTCCGACACTCCGGAGTGACTTAAGTTGCGCTCGAGG